ATTGGGTGAATACATCTCATATTACTGATTTACTGGTAGTCACGAAAACAATACTTAATTCGAAAAATACTTTTAATAAATTATGGCAAAATTCACTAACGAATCCTTTTAAAATAACATTTAAAAAATCCTTATTTTAAGGTTAGTAAACTTCAATTATTTTATCTAGGCGTCACTAATTACCAGACCCTCTATTATGTTGTATCTACCTTAGATAAGACCCATCGTCCCAATTATTTATTCAAAGAGGAATTCAAAAAGACAACAATAAGTAAGTCATGGCTGTGGACTTACTGACTTCGTAAATGCTTAATCAAATTTCGGCTGGCATGAATGCCTATATGAAAAAATATATGATAGAATAATGAGAATGATTGGTTTCATTATGTATGAAATAATGTAATAAATGCCAAATAGTAGAACTTATCGTAAAATAAAACAAAAAATGTTCTGTAGAAAAATTGGGTTTCGAAGAATCCCATAATTGATTAATGTTGGAGTACCTTTCATTTCGTTTGAAGAGGTGAGTAGAAGGGATTCGTAAGTTGGTTCCATCGGAAGATGTAGGGGGATTGCTTGCGATAACATTGCAGGATCAAAGATATAAGTATTTTAAGAGAGGATGCAGCTGCTCGGTCGCAATTGCACTCGTTTCACGATTGAGAATGTACCAAGTCCACTGTCTGATGCTGGGAATCATGACAACTACTATGGCAGACGACTTCTGACTAGGTGCGTTCTACTATTTCCCCTGACAACAACACCAAGTTGCGACGAGGTCAACCCACTTCTACAAAACATGAGATGCCTGAGGGGATCAAGTTGTACTATAAGAAGTAGCTAAGTTTGAAGCCGACCACCTTTCATGCCTTCGTGTTTTTGGCGAATTATCGGTAAGCATGATGTCCTGCTCTTACGATTTCCGTCACATGACGGACGAAAGCTCAGCAAAGATTCCTCGAGGTTGCAGGGTTGTGCGCCGAGGACCTATTCGCACAAATCTACAAGATCGCTAGAACATTATCTTTCTAGAGCTTTCGGTGGAACCAACTTACGAATGCCCTCCACTCGCCTCTTCAAACAAAATGAAAGGTAATCCAGCATCCAAAAAATACTGTTTAAAAGACAACATATGCCAATACATAATCAGACCTTATAGTGCCGATGTCTTGTGGACAGACAGCTGTAGCAGCACCAAGTAAGCGAAGAAGTGATACTAGTAGACGAGAGTGGATAATCTGAGCCAGACAGACTGAATCACAGGCCGCTCTTGCTGAGACAGTAGCAAACTCACGAGCCCCAAGGCCAACTTGTTGAGGGGCAAGTGGATGACCGGTCATTAGAAGACTGTGATGAGCTGAGCCAAAGAGATGAAGACAACGCAAACAAATCAACCAGCAGCGCTCGGCCAACAGCAGGCAATGAGGAAGTTCAAGGTTAGCCTGGATATAAGTTGAAGCGAATAAAAATGAGGAAAACAGATAAAGAGGCATTAAGGATTATTCAAAGATGTTAATAAGTGGAGAACATATTTTACTGCCTTCGCAAAGCGGGTCTGACTAAAAACCTTTGAAAAATTTAACCATTGGTATGAGCAAAAATAATTGCTGAATTAAAAAAACTTAAAATCGTAGATAATCCCGTCATTCATAAGTTAAATATGAAGTCAAGGGGTATTTTGACGCCTCATTTTGCTGAAGTAGAAATGAGCTGAGGCAAGTGGTATGTAAGGACTTAGTGAAGGATGACAGCTGATGGATGCCATTGGGTTATAAAAGAACAATGAGTATGGCTTAAAAAGAGAAGAAATAAATCAAAATGTAGGTCAATTAATTTAATTTAAAAATATGCAAGAATAGATTAAGCTAATAGTTATAGAGCCTAAGAGATATTTATTAATGGGGAAGTTGAAATAGATTGCTTCAATCACCTTAAGAGAAACTGTGGTGAATTCCATGACGAGGAGGAGACGAGCACAACTGGCTGGCAAGTGTAACTCCAAAAGTTGACGCTTGCGTGATAGGCGCCGATTAGTGCGCGGAACACTGGCCATTTGTGCCAATTCTTGCTGATCAAAGGTCATTGCCCCTTCCTGTGAAAGCAGTGTCTCCAGCTGAGTGAGCAGAAGGTTGACTTGATGGACGGTATAGAGGAGTACTGGCCAAACCGAGTAAGTGTGCTGCCAAACAACACGATTCAAGGCTGTTAATGGGGTTGAAATTGGTTGAGTGTGCCAAATAAAGTCGGAGAAAAATGGAAGAGTTTTAATCGATTCAATCAAATAGGATGAATAAAACTATTTAGTTTGAGCGACTGGTCAAGCTAGTTATGAAGGAAATAAACCTTGTATGTTCATAAAATGAAATCAGCCCTGAAGTGGAAATTCAATAAACACCAAAATCCCAAACACTGATGATGGGATTACAAAAAAATGTGATCATACAATAATGCTCCATACCTTTAGTATAGTCTATAGTCTAAAAAGACGTAAGAAAGATTGTATAAGTAGATCTTCTTGAAACCTAAATGGCATAAGGATGTTAGAATTAATACTCAGTGATAAAACGTTATAGGCAAATTAAAAATAGCCATGTAGTAAGCAGGCTTCGATAATAAATGTTGTTTAACCTTGTTTTCGCAACTTGGTCATATTGGTAGGAAGACTTAGAGGAACGCACCTAGTTCGGAGTCCATTGTATGCATAATCATTTCCAAAGTCGGACCGTGAACGTGGTACATTCCCATACTTCTATACAACGAAAAGAGACTGCGACCACACAAAGGCCACACCATGTTGATCTTCATACCTTCGATAATAAAGTTTTTGTTGAAATTACCGCGAAGGCTCATAGCGCCAATGAATGTAGAAGTAAAATCATAATTTGTTTATTCAAGCCGACTACACTAACTGAGAACGTCTTAAATTTATTTTCGAATCTTCTTCTTTGCTATCCCTTTTCCTCTACTTTACGATAGATCCTAAATGCAGGCGTTTCCTTTTTTCTTGTCTTGTTACATCCCGGTTATCTGTGAG